ACCCATGCCATGCAAGTGCTCTACCACTAAGCTATATGCTCAGTCCCAACATTATTTTTAAAAGGATTATTTATGTTCTTCAAATAGGAGTTTTGTGGTAAACCAAGATCAGACCAAACTACTTTGTCCATACTTAAAAGTTTCAAACTGGCACAAATAAAGAACATGGTGCCAGGTATGGTGGTACATGCCTATAATCCCCGCACTCAGGAGGCTGGAAGGATCTTGAGGCAACCTGCGCCGGACGGCAAGACACTGTCTCAAAAAAACAAATAAAATAAAATTTTTAAAGAACATGTTTTTCAAATCTGACAGCCTCAAAAACAAAGTTCTTGTATTTCAAGGCAAACTGTTAAAATACTGCACCACTGTGTTTACACTGGAGACTGTTGATGGGACCTAATAGGTTCAATGTCTTATGCAGCATAGTCTGCAAGTTTAAAATGCAAAGATTACATTGCTGCCCCCAAAATAACTGCTAACCCTGAATTGAAAATTATTCCACTTAGCTAGTGCCAAGATGTAAGTTAACGAGATCTGGTTTCCTATGGAATTGAATTTTGGAATGGCAGACTACTTAAGTGTTTATATCTTTAGCCACCATACCCTTTTAATTCTAAAATTAGAGTGACTGCACATGTAAAGGATACACCAAAGGAATCAGATCTCTGTGCTATGGTGTTCTAAAGCTTCACTTAGAGTAGCAAAAACAATTGGTCAATCCATTTCCTCTTGTCAGTAAATATATAGTTGACTGTTTTCCAGTGTTTTTACTCTGATATTAAGTCACCCTGTACTTCAAAATGCAAGATAGCAACCAAGAGGAATCTGCCTTCTGGCTAACCCGACTATACTCCAAAAAATGATGATTTTCTGTTTAGAAGACATGTCTATCAAGAAATAGTAATTTAGATGAAAATGACTTTTCCTATATTAAAAAGTTCTTCAGAGAATGAAAACTACTAACAGAGTACTTTCATAGTATTTATGACTAGATGAAGTAGTTACTAGACAAAGTCAACCTTCTAACACTGAAGCTTACTTAATATACTACAGCAGCAGCCAGGCCCTGGTAGTTCATGCCTGCAATTCTAGCTACTCAGTAGGCAGAGATCAGGAAGATCACAGTTTGAAGCCAATCCCAGGCAAACAGTCCACGAGATCCTGTTTTAAAAAAAACCCATCACAAAAAAGGGCTGGTAGAGTGTCTCAAGGTGTAGCCCTGAGTTCAAGCCCCAGTACTGAAGGAAAAACAGTAGCAAAGGAGGCTAAAACATTCTAAAATTAGACTACAGCATAAGCAAATTAGCCTGTATTTAAGATATTATAAAAAGCAATTTGTAGCAATCATTTAAGCATCAAAGAAACACAACTTAAATATATAATATATATTTATTTATATGTATGCCTATCTTTCTATAACCCAAGAACACGATCTCTTCATATGTGCATTTACTCTGAATTCATCTAATTGCCTGAAGAGAAGTAATTTAAATACTGGCTCCCTTTGCTGATCAGTTCCCCCAAGTTCCCATGTATCTCTCAGAATATGAGCAATCCCCTCACAATGTCTGGTTCTAACACTAGTTTGTGTATTTGTGGGCACTGTGACAAATAAATGCAAACCAATAACTTCCTCTGGGGTTCACAGAAAGAAAAACAGCAGTTTTTTTCCAAAGCTGGAAGAAAATCTGGCCATGTCGGAACTTTTCAGTGCTGGTATTACTCCATCTAACATGGTGCCTCACTAAAAAATTTCAGAGGTACCTTTCATTTTAAACTAGTTTTAAACGAAACTAGCCCATCTGGGCTGGCTTTAGAACTCTATCCACACATCAAATTATACCCCATCTTCCCTACCACCTCACCTCTTGCAGTTCTACTCTAAGACCAAATAGGAACAACAACAAAAAAAAAGGTTTTGCATTACACTACTGACACAACATTAACAAACTCGAGTTTGGGGAAGTTTTTGTTGTTTTGTTTTTTGTGGTGCTGGGGATCAAATCCCGGGCCTTAGGCATGGTAGGCAGGTGCTCTACACTGAGCTGCATCCCCAGATAGTTGGTGGGGTTTTGTTTTTTGTTTTTTAAGCAAATCTTTATAAGACACAGTGGTAGTTACTAAACAGGCACTCTACTTTTTTAAAAAGGAACTTTTTAGAAAATGAGGAACCTGCATTCAGTAAGATATAAGGTTGGTATATAAGTAATTTAAGGAAAAGCAGAACAGTTAATCCTGTAAGAGGTGTAGAAGTTAAGCACTAAGGAGTTCAGAAAATGAAGACCAGATAAAGCTGAATTCTAACTGCAGCTGTGACATGCATAGCAAAAAGTAGTAGAAGTTTCATGAAGAAAAATCATCTTTAAGAGTGCTGGAAATCACAAATTTCACATTCCAAAGTCAAAATGAAGGGGGAAGGGCTTTCATTTCTGGAAAAAGTAGAATTGAGACCAATCCTATAAATCTACAAAAAAAAAAAAAAAGAGCTGGAAAAAAGTTTAAATACTTATTAAACTGAAAAGTGAGTAAGATAGAATAAGAATTTGGATAAAATCTAGAAGGTGAATAATAGAAATTAAGCACAAGATTCAAAGTGGATTTCATACTACAGATTTTTCTAACCTGAAAGTTAAAATTTTGGTACAACCTAAGTAAAAGTAAAAGCCAGGAGCCTGAAGGGTTGGAAATGTAGCTCAGTGCTGGAGAACTTGCCTAGCATTTGCAAGGCCCTGGGGTTTGATTTCCCAGCACACAGGAAAAGATTAAAAAAAAAAAAAGGTTCAAAAGCCAGGAGTCCATGTAGGGTGTGTAGTCTGATAACCACCTTCCTCTCCACCTTAATCTGATACCCCAAAGAACTACACCATCACGGTAAAGGGGAAATGGGAAGGAAAACAGCAGGAATAGTGCACAATAGAAGAAGACCTAAAGGGAATTCAAACTGTGGAATTAAATATATGAATTACACAACAACTATGCTAACCACATTTAAAAAAAAAATCAAGCCTTGAAATTAATAGCAAAGAAAAAGAAACTGTAAAAGAGTGACAAGACTAAACAGAATTTCAGGAACTAAAAACTGCAATAACTGAATTTAAGAAGTCAGTGGATGAGTTTAATAACAAATTGAATAAGAAATAATTAATGAAGAAATTATTGAGGCTGGGATGGTGGCCTGTGGCTGTAATCCCAGCACTTGGGTGTCAAGGGTAGTCTTGAACACTCTGTGCAACATAGAGACAAAGATACAGTGAAAATCAGTTCAGTAAGGAAAAAAGAAGAAACAATGAGGAAAAAGCAACATATTAATATAGAATGGCTATGAATTTTATAGAACTCATGAAAGACACTAATCCAAGAGCCAAAAAGTCTAATGGCAAACAAACTGCACAAACATCAGTCATAGTTGGGGACACCCTAGTGAAAAAGCAGAAGGCAAAGACAAAACAATCTTTAAAACACGTTCTATAGTAAGCAGCAAAAGAGATCATATTTAAGAGTGAAGTATGCTAAGGAGGACGCCAGTGGCTCACGCCTGTAATCCTAGCTACTCAGGAGGTAGAGGTCAGGAGGATCGTGGTTCAAAGCCAGCTTGGGCAAATAGTTCGGGAGACCCTATCTCGAAAAAAAAAAAAAAAATCACAAAAAAGGGTTGGTGCAGTGCTCAAAGTGTAGGCCCTGAGTTCAAGCCCCAGTATGGCAAAAGAAAAGAAAGAAAATGCTTAGTTTAGCTATGTCAAAAGCATATTACACTACGATTGAGACTACAGCTGAACCATGCACTTTCTTCATTTACCAGAGAGGTGCTTTTCCATTTCTGAAGCAGCAGCTTGACCCTAACCAAACATCAAGATTCTTGGAAGCTGAAAGTGAAGACTGATAATCAGGTAAATGGTCTTCACATAAGTCTTCCTTTCTTAAAACTATGAAGAATTTCTCCCTCTTAAGACTTAAGTTGAGAAGGATAACAGTCTCTACTCTTAGACCCTTACAACTGTTCACAGTTCATCTCAGGCTGTACTTAAAATATAGAAAAGCTGTCTTTATCTCATTATCTCTTATCAAAGAGGAATCTACACACTAATTTCAAAGATTTGGGAAGCAGTGACCACCAAACCATGTCATGATGTCCCTGTGGACACATCAATAAACCAACTTAAGAACAGACAAAACTTGCTCACAGTTGGTACACAAGAAGTCACTGGAAATTCTGACCAACAGGCTCACATTTGGCTTCCTGGGTCCCATTTCTGACAACTCAATCTGACTACCTGTGGGTGGGAGGTACAAGAATCTTCAATTTAAAATTAATGGCCACAGAAGATCTTGTTTCCGCTAACGTTTAAGAACCATGGCTATGAAGGAATAGTCTGCATGTGGACTGAGATTCCTAAGGACACCCCTCTCAAACAAGACGCCTCAACTCTCGGTCTTTGTTCTCTAAGCTCTAAGCTCCCAATTCTCTAAGGTCTTAGCTCTTTCTGCAAAACAGACATGCTGGCTTGTTTTCTATTAGAAAATGCATTTAGCACCGCAAGTGGTACACACAAGTGGTATATGATAAATGTCTTTCCCATCCTGCAACTACATTCTGGGATTCAACCAGAACCAACGAGGGGTCCCCACATCTCTTGAGCAGCCTGGAACGGCTCCAAGACCTCTAGGGCACAACCGGCTCCTCACTTGAGGCCGGGATGCCCCCATGAAGCAGAAGAGTGGAGGAAGTGGGCCAGAGGCCCGGCAGTGCTGGGTTCGCCTAGAAAGCATCAGGGAACCTCCCACCCCGACCCATATGTCTTTCCGCAAGCTCCCTTCGCTCCGCTCAGACTGGGCCCAGCAAACTCCGGGTCCAGGCAAGTTAGGACACTGAGAGACTGCACGGCCTTAAAACAGACCTGGCCCTCGCCCTAACCCTAACACCAGCCGTAGTTAGCGTCTCCTCGGCGAAGAAGCCCAGGTTTCGCCGCCTGTCCAGGACCCAGGCCGCATTCACCTACCAGAGTGCGGGATCGAGAGTCCCTCACCTCGTCGGCGCCCACCCCAAACTGCCGCCGCAAAGGCCGCTCTCGCTTTAAAAAATAAAAAGAGAGAGAGGGAGGGAGGGAGAAAAAAGAAAATAAAAAGAAGGAAAAAAGGGAGAAAGCAGAAAATAGCCTTTGCTTTTGTATTCCTTTTGACCCTTCAGGGCTTCCTGTTCCTCACCGCCACAACAAAGTTCCGCCCCACTTCCGGCGACGTAACCCAATCAACAGCGCTCTTCCTTCCCCGGAGCCAGATGTAAATCCTGTGCCCCAAAACCCAACCGGAGAGACTTCATTGGGCCATTCACCCTTTAGCAAGGGGACTGGCCAGTTCATTCCTGGGGGGCGGGCCGGGCCTCAGTGTCACGTGGTACCATCCCTAAGAGATTATTGGCTGTCAGGGAGAGGGTTTGCCACCGAGGAAGGGGCGTTTCCTAGGGGACTGAGGGAGGGCCCGGGCTGTACGAAGCGGGGGTGGGCCCTGCGCGTAATGGCAGCGCCGTGGCCTAGCGTCCATCTTTACCGCTCTCTTGGACCTGTCACAAAGGAGTCGCACCGCTGTCGCTGTCCCCTCCCTCTGGTGGGCCTGGGAGCTAGAGAAAGTCAGTGCTGCAGCCCGACCGTGCTGCTCGGGGAAGTCCCCTGGACGCGGAGTGGGAGGGAGTCGGAGGGCCGGGGACGCCTGTGAGGGAGGGGAACTGCCGCTAGAACCTGGGGCGGAGAGACCGGACTGGGGCCGAGGCAGGCTCCTGGAAGGGGCCTGGGAGAGGGTGGCGTTGGGCAGAACCCGGGAAACAGCCGGGAGGTTCTCCACCATCCACCAAGGCCCGCGCTGAAGGCGCCTGAAGAGCTTCCTGGAAGAGGGTGTTCCCCTTTTCGGGGGAATCTTGCCTGGAGGAGGCTCTTGGGGTCACCCTTCCGAGGAGGCTGCGGCTAACGGAGCCCAGGTGAGAGGCAGGTATCTCCGGGGGGTGTGTATGGGGGTGGGTGGGCGCTTCTGAGATTGAGGGATGTACCTCGGAGGTGCTTGGGGCAGAAGGGGGAGAGAAAAAGGACGCCTCGGGAGGGTTTCCCTTTGTGGAGTTTGCGAATTCGGTGGGAAGCTGACCTCCTGCAGGTAGATTTGGAAACGTCTTGGGGTCGAGAGACGCCACCGTGAGAGAGGGTTCGGAGGTGGCAGCCAGACCTAGCGGATTCTCCTGCCCCGGAGGCCTGAGCTAAAAATTGGATAAGGACCTTGGGGAGAGGGGATTTCTGGACGGTTCTGGGAAGGAGACAGTCCCATCCATAGGGAAGCCCGAGCTTGGGGGGCGGGGGGAGAGGGGAGTTGGAGCCCGTTTGCCTCACTTTCCCTGTTTTTAGGCAGGAAGACCGAGGCAGAGCTGGTGTGCTGAGTGTGTAGTTGTATAGTTGTCTGAGTGAGGTTGCTCTCCCTGGAGTGGTGGACTTTAAACTTTTAAGGGTTGGAAGTGTCTATTATTGACGGAGTAGAGTTTTTCAGTTTTCCAGGCCCCTCGCCCACCATCTGCTGTCCTAACTCCTTGAATTCCTTCTGTAAAATAACCAACGCTGGGCACGAACCTAAGACTGTAATTCTACTACCAAACGAGTTGCTGGTGAGGAATCGAAGTGAAAGCACTTTCTAAACTGTAAAGCAGTATATAGATGTAAGAGATTTGCATTAATACAGTTGTTGATCACCTATAGAGTGTTGGGAGTCATATTGTACTAAAAGCTTCAAGCTTTGTAGTTTCTAAGGTCCTAAGGGAATCTAAACCCATGATTTCAAACCCTGCTTCCATGCGGGTGCAGAGATTTCCAGTTTTTGTTCCCTGACGTTTAATTTACTATGAACTTTTGATGGTGCTAGCAGGAGTTAATACTATATTATAATCTTTTCCTTCAGGAAGTTTTCCCCTGACAGCTGCAATTTTCCTCCAAGTAATTTGATCTCACTATTGTAAGCCCCCTCCCTCTTTTTCATGTATGTATTCATGGCTGTTGGGTGTCTACAGGTAGTGAATATGTTTCCTCCCTCAGTTGTGATTTATAAGTTAGATGGTCTTCTTCCTGCTGTGAAATATTATACCTCATTGTGTTAGCCTCAAAGTATAGGCCCACTGTTTGCTTTTAAATTTCTCTTCTATAAGGTTTCTCTTAGTTTTTCACCTATGTAGGGTTTGCATTTCCTGGAATGATATCTTGCATTGTAGATCCTTCTTATTTTGAGGTTATAAAATATTTGTGTCCAGGTGTGACACTTTACTGTTGGTTTCCCCAAAATTGGGAGATTTATTTGCTTTTTTTTTTGCAGTACTGGGGTTTGAACTCAGGGCCTTCACCTTGAGCCACTCCACCAGCCCTATTTTTGCCTGGGCTGGCTTAGAACTGTGATCCTCCTGATCTCTGCCTCCTGAGTAGCTAGGATTACAGGCGTGAGTCACCTGCACCTGGCTATTTTCAATTTTTAAGCTAATTTGAATTTCCTGTTTTTCTAATCTTATATTCCATGGATTTTTTTTTTTAAATCACTGTAGTGATTTTATGAGCTTCCTGATTTCCCAGGATGGTGTCCTGACCTACTGCTTATGTCTGCCCTGCATTATGCTGTCTTTACAGGCCCTTCACTTTTTCTGTACTCAGTGATATTTTTAAGCTATCGATCATAGGAAGCATTCCAGCATACTCTTTGTGGGCTTTTTCTGCTTTGTCAGCAAAATAACTTAACTTAGCAAGTGTTAAGAGGAAAGAAAAATTTAGCATTTTGTGTAATAATGTGTTAATCTATAGTGACTAGGAAAGAAAACCACAACTCTGAAGTGTTTTGGCAAGAGTTTATCAAAAGACATTGTGTTAACTTACTAAAGTGCATTTACAATAATCTGTTACAGCTCATTAGCTTCATTCATCCTATCAAGGATGGCATATATCTTCCCTAAGTAATTTGTTATAATGAAGAGGGAAATTACTTTGCGTCTTTTAAAATACAACTTTCATTGATATCTAAAATCTGTATAGTTTGGAAAAATCACTAGGAATTCATGTTCTGTATTTTGTGGTAGAATCCTTGTAAAGGATTCTAAAAGTAAGTGGAAAGTCAATAACCACCACATGGTATCCAAAATTAGAAAATTTTGAAAAACACAATAGTCAGGAAGTAGTGAATGCCAAAAACTTAGACCACCACCATTAGAAGGAAACTTTTACAAGTTTTTTAGAGTGCAAAAGAATGAATATTTTCCCTTTGTTTTATCTGTTTAGTAAGCCAGTTTTTGAAGTAATTTTCTTGCCAACCTTTATAACTATAAAAAAAGTGCAAAATTGTTACATTTTTCTCTCAGTATCTGTTCCAAAGGGAGTAGTTGCTAGTTACATATGTAAAAACAGTAACTATAGGTAAGTGTGGTATATACAGGTTAAATCAGGTAAACTTACCTTGTAAACAGTGGTGGGCTCTAGGAGAATATTTCCCTTTGTTTCTGAGCTTTTGAGAACTAAGCATGGAATTAGTGCATGCCCTAAATTTGTGAAGGATTGAACTCAGCATGTAGCTTTCTCACTGCTTGAAATTACAGTTTCCAGGCATAATTTCTTGGATCCTATATATCTCAAATAGAAGGTTTGAAATTCCTTACTCAGCAAGTATATTACTGCCTCATAGCTTAATGTTTTAGTGTTAGGTTTTTTGTTTTTTGGTTTTTTGCTCCTTCTACCTGAAGAATTAAATTTCCTCTCCTTTGTTCACTTAATGCAGTGATTCTCAAGTTATGGCACCCACCCTGCTCTGCCTCATGGGAAATGCAGCTCCTTTTTTTCAGTTCTTACTGCTGCATAGTTATTCATTCTCACATATGCTAAGAGCTACTTACTTATTAACAATCTACCAAGTGAATGATTAGGGATTACTAAGACATAGTATCTGTAACCCAAAACTAAAGCCATTTTTCCCCTCAGGTACAGTGTTCTGATCAACCAGGTACCAGGCAAGGCTTCTCACATGTCACATACAGAATAGGGATTCCTACAATATTTAGGAAGGGTGCTTAATTTGGGGTATATCATCCATGTTATCTCCAAAATGATCTTGGTTTTCCATTGTGATTCCTTGTTTTTTAATTTTTCTTTTCCCTTTTCATTAGAATTACTATTTAGCTTTGGACTGGAGGTGTGGCTCAAGTGGTAGAGTGCCTGCTTTGCAAGTGGGAAGCCCTGAGTTTCAAACTCCAGTCCCACCAAAAAAAAAAAAAAAAAAAAAAGAAGAAGAAAGAGGGACTAGGAGTGCAGCTCAAGTATTAGAGTGCTTGGTTAGTAAGGACAAGACTTACTAATTCCCAGTGCTACCCACAAAAAAAATAAATAAATAAAAATTTGGGCTGGTGAAGTGAATCAATCGGTAAAACAACTGCCCAGAAAGACCCTGAGTTCAAACCCTAGTGGCAGAAAAATACTATTTAGCTTCAACTTCTTAAAATTTATAAACTTTTCATTAGCCTTTCACTGTGTGAATAGGGATATTTGTTCCACAATATTTTAGCATATAATTTGAGAAATGAGTATATTGCAATGCAAATAAAAGTCCTCTGTTCTCTTTTGCTAATACTAAGGGTTGCTTCAGTGTTACTAAGTTCCTGGAAATTTGATGGGACCAGTGGCCTCCTTCTTGTTGACTTCATGCTTTTCCCATAAGCTTTGGTTAGGGAGCCAAGTCTATTGTCCATTGCCATCCTTCATCCCTAATTTCATCTCTCTTTGCCAAGAGCATTTTTTTCATCTTTGCTCAGTGCCTGGTATGAAAGCCTTGGACTTAGATGGTGACATCTCAATTTTTTTTTTTTTTTTTGGCAGTACTATGGTTTGAACCCAAGGCCTCACACTCGCTGGACAAGCACTCTACCACCTGAGCCCCTCCACCAGCCCTTTTATATGTTTGGAATTTTTGAGGTAGAGTCTTGTTTTTTGCCCACTAGTCTTGAATCACAGTCCTCCTGATGTCTGCCTCCAGAGTAGCCAAGATTATAGGTGCGAGCCATTGGCACCCAGCTCAATTTTTTTAAGTGGTAAGTATTTTGGAAGCACTTTTCTATTTTTATAGATTTTACAGTAAAAATACTTAGAATAAAAACATTTATTGACTACCTATTGGGTATCCAATTGAGTATACAGTTGGGTGTTTTTTAGACAGCATTTTAAGTAGATGTCATTAAGGAAAGCATTGACACTCATTCTGTTTACATACTTCCTTTGCTTAACACAGAGTTTTTTCAGTAGAAAAGTCTTTTCCCTTTGGATTTGAGTATTTTTGTAAAACACAGCTATAGGACTTCCTGTTATTTGATCTCCTAGGGGAAAAACTCAAATAGTATGGAATATTGCATCTGTTTTTCTCCATTTACTGCAGCTGTCATTAGCAACTTACCTCAGTTCTTCCTTGGTATTTCCTTTTCGGGTGCAAGGCAGATTTTTTAATCCTGAGGCTTCAGAGATTATTTACCGCTTGCTGCTTTTTTTACAGTTACTTGCTTCTGGACATTCTTTGCTCTATCACAGGCCTAATTTTAATTTTATTTATTTAATTTTTTTGGCAGTACTGGGGTTTTTTGTTGTTTTATTTTTTGATGGGTCTGGGGTTTGAACTCAGGGCTTTGTACTTGCAAAGCAGGCACTCTTATTGCTTGAGCCACACTTCCAGTCCATTTCACTCTGGTTATTTTGAAGATGGGATCTCTTGAACTATTTGCCCAGACTGTCCTCAAACCTCAGGCCTCCTGATTTTAGCCTCCCAATTAGCTAGGACTACAGTCATGAGCCACTGGTGCCTGGCTACTAGTACTGAGGTTTTGAACTAAGGGGCCTTGTGCTTGCTAAGCAGGCATTCTACCAGTTGAGATATGCTTCTGGCTCCTAAATTTTATATTTTAATACATGTTTTTAAGACATAAAAGGATTT